CTGTCACCATTACTATTTGTTATTCTCTTGCACAGAATATCAAAGGCCTTCTGCTTATTAATAAAAGATTTCCATCACAACTGACACCAGCAACACTCACCATAAAAATCAAGAATTACATCAAGGTAAAATAGAATGTAAGCAAGGTAAAAGCCATATTCATAGACATTAGTGACACCAGAGGTTGGAATTTCTAGGTTTTGTATTAGTATTAGGTGAAAGGTATGTAAGTAATATTATTCAATGATATTCTTGTTTAACAGCAAATTAAATTAACAAAGTATAGCTCGCCTTGAATAACAGCCTGAAGATATTTATTTTTTTCCAACTACAACTCATGTTTTTTATGAGCATGAACAAACACTGCTAAGTTCCAGTACTCCTTGTTGGAACAACTCACAAATTTTTCATCTGAACTCACTGCTACAAACAGATCTTTTCTTCCAGGATCCAGTCCAAACACTTTGCATCCATTCAAATCAATATTTGATCCTCCTTCATCAACATCCTCTTTATCATCATCAACTTTCTTCTGCAGACCAACTGATACTGCAATACCATCAGTTTGTATGGAGTAGGCAAAGATTCGATTTTGGGTGGTGACTTTATTAATATTAAATGCTTCCATCCACCAAGTTTCCTTTTCAGCTCTGAATCTTTGAATGATTGTTACTCCTACTTTTTCAATTGATTTGTATGTGTAATATAAAGCATCAGTATCAACTAATATGTACTTTTGTTGGAAAGAGTATTTAGGCAGAAGTGTGAAGAGACAAAACCACATTCCCAGTTATGCTTGGTAAAGGCGTGCAGGATTTTATGAAGACCTGAAAGATATGACCACCAGGATGCTTTTACAGATACATCATCAAGAGCTTGATTTTGAAATAATGTCTGTTGCACTTTCAAGTGAATATATTTAATGCAGGTAGTAAGGTAAATTAGGTATTGTGGATGTGATGTAGAAAGTTTATCAATAATATTTGAATGGAGGGAAGGGAGATCTCTATTTTTCAAGTTGGTAATGAAATGGTTTATAATGGAGTTGTGTGTTTTTTAGGTAAAGGAAATTGATGAATCTTAAAATAATTTATATTTTATCCATCTTTTAAGTCAGTTGTCAAGATTTGTTGTTATGCGGTTCTGACAATTTGTAACATATTGCCATGCAGCAGAAGAGAAGTTGCCCTAATGATTTTTTATTTGTCCAATTCATTCCTTGAGGTCAATATTGTGTGTAGAGGGTATCTCGAATATTATTTATGATGGGTTTTTTGGTGGTGTCAGGGGTATTTTGGTATGTAGTTACAGCTTGGAAGCATTGCCTCATATACTTGAAAGTGCCTTCACTTGTGTTAAAAGGAAATTGATAATCAATGGTCACGTGATAACGTGCTGTTTGATTAGCCAATCGAAAGCCTTCAACTAATTGATTATTTGTTTACTTTTTAAGAAATGCATTATGCATTTAATTAATCAATTGACAATTGACAATTGAAATTTATTATTCATTTACTTGACAATTGGATTGATTATTTGTTTATGACTAAAAATAAAGCATTATGCATTTAATTAAATGACAATTGAGGGAGCAAAACTTTTAGAACTTTATTTATTGGACAAATTGGATAGAGAGGTGCCAGATCAAATACCAATAATGGATTATAACTTTATTCGAAAATTATTTCAAGCTGTTTCATGCAGAGAAGGATCTCAATGATCCACAAAGAACATCTGGTGAATCATTAAATACATTACATGATAATCATTATGCTAATCAAAGTCCTCTGAACATGCAATGGATGTCAACATGTGGAATTGGGCAAATTACAAGTCTTTCTGCCAACCAATATCTCACTAATTGTCATAACCATGTATCCAGAAATATTCCACAATGACTTTGCAAATTCATCAATTTTCACTTCCATAACACACCTGAAATTTGTAATAAAATAAAAACATTAAAATTGGTTAATTTGATATATAAGGCACTGGTGTCCAAATGTGATCTTAATCTTAATATTAATAATGTTGATGAATATATGAAGAACATAGAGAATGCATCACAACAATGTCTAAATTACATTTTGGAATTATATAATGAAGTTAAAAATTTTATTGGGACTTGGATCTTTCGGGGGATGCAATGGGTGTAACAAAAAGCTGGCAAAATTAACTTCCTTTGTTACACAAAATCTTGAAAATATTTGAAGAAAATAATAATATTAAAGGGTTGAGAATCTTTGATATTGTCACTCAATTTAGCTTTCGTGCAAGATATATTCCTCTTGATACAAATGCACTTTACAAAATCTTAAAATCAATTGGTCATCATCTTGTAAGAGGAATAAATGAAACACAATTTGGGGATAATGCCAATTATTATTGGAGTCAGATATTTGATATCAACAAGTATAGGAATAGATTCAGATTTTTGTTGAGACTGACTTGGCTGGTATCAGTATATCAATCTTCAAATATAGAAAGAAAAATACAAAGGATGAGATAATCATGGAATAACTAATATTTTTGGAAAAGAGGTAATTGGTCTTGATCTTGGGAGGAAAGATTTATTTGTTGCTGTTGACAATAAAGAAAGAGTTGCTCATTGTGGGACAAAGGAGTACAGAGATATGGCTAGATTTGTGCAAAATATGAAGAAAATAAAAAGATAGCTTAACCAAGTAAGCCTTTAACACCTTTACTATTTATTAGATCAAAGTTATTGATTTTAACCAAATTAATTCATTATAGAATCAAAATATCAAAAATTACAAAGTGCTCTACCTACATCACATGTATCCACCAAGTCTAACTTCTTAAATCATATTCAATTTATTTTAATGCATTATCATACCTTCTGATCTTTTTATGGTGCACTTTGCTTTTGCAAAATAAAATTTGATAATTATGTTGGCAAGCAACAAGCATTTTCTAAAATGTGTCAACAGATCATTAGTAAACCACAAGACTGGCATTATTCTGATGTAAAGACTAGTGCCATAAATTATGATGATGGTAGTAATTGTATTTACGGCATATAAAAAGTGGTTGCAATTACCTTTGCAACCACTTTTGCAACCATACTTTTTCCTTTTTTGGATTACGGCACCAGTCTTTATTCTGATGTAGTTGTGACTTATGGATCATGGTGGATTCTCCTCTTCTTTTCCTGGTTATGCTTCAGGGCCAAAAAAACAGTTATACCTAAGGTTTCTGGTCCAAACTGTTTTCTCAAAGCCCAAACTAGTTTGGGCAATTTGGGCTTCTCAACATTTTTTATAAGCATGAACATTAAAAAACTATATGAATCAATTTGTTTTAACTTAAACAACTTTAAAATAATTTCGCCCAATTTCAGCTAATAACAAAAAGTAGTTTGGGCTTATAAAAAAATAAATTTTGCCAAAGTATTTGGGCAATTTCGGCTACTAATAGAAGCAGTTTCGGCCAGAAACCTTAGTTATACCAAGAGTTGAAAAGAAGATGCACCACTTGATTGGTAAATGAATTTAAATCAAGCCAGGCATGTTAAATGATTCTTATATCTGTTTTTAATGCAATATGTCTCACTCACTTTTATATTTATGATTTGTTCAAAGTGTAAAAATCCTTTCCAAAATCCTCAAAAAATATATTCATCAGAATTTGCAGTAATGGCAATGGAATGTTGTGGAATAGGGATGTGACACTGCAAGAAATATAAGAGATATTTATAAATTTATGTGTAAAAATGGAGGGGAACAACCTTCACAATTTGTTAGGTCATAATTTACCTTATTAACTTATGGACCTTGTGGGGATTTCCTAGAAGCAATGGTCAACCCAGTATATATACTTAACTGTATGTGTGCATGGGACAGTTCTGATTTATCAGTTCTGTAAAGTGTAATAATAGGTTAGTTTTAACTCAATCTTTGATTTTATTTGATTTTAATATTAAGTGGAAATGGAAAATACTAATAATTCAAATTTTATTTTGTCACTTGTTAGTATGTAGCAATGTTGGCACTTTTAAAAAATATATATTTATATTTTCATATTGTAATCTTGCAAAACATCATTACGAATCTATATAATTATTTTTTCAATAAAATGAATGAATGAATGAAATAAATAAATAAATAAATAAATAATAAAAATGGATATCAATGAAAATATTTTATAGAAATAATCTATTACCAAAATTTTTGTAGTATGGAGAACACTTAATAGTAAAAATTCAACCCTTTTTCAAAGTGATAATTTTTGAGCAATTGGCTTAGGCTTAGGAATATGGAAACAGAAAATACAATCATTTGAATGTAAAATTTTTAATCATCAAATAAAACACTTTGCCACTTATAATTCAATAATAAAATAAAAGATACAATAAATTTATAAAATTTACTTTTCAAAAAGATAACTTCACGTTTCTCTTGAAGATCTGTGATAATTCATCACTTAATAATCCATCTAAGGTTGAATTTTCATGATGATAAAACCATTTTTCATATTTGAAATCATAATCGTAACGTTTTGGCCCACTGAATTTTTCAATTAAAAAATTTTACAAAAATATTGATTTAGAATATGAAAACAATTTTATAGACAAAGGTTAATATTTATTTTAAATCTAAACCAACCTAACCGGTGATGACAACCAGATTTGTTTATTAGGAGGTTGTTTATTTATAACATATGTACCCATTGAACCACACTTTAACGTTAATACACCACTCTGAATAGAATAGAATAGAATTGTATTGAAATTGAATGGAATTGAATCATTGAAAATAATAATAATTTTAAACTTACAGAATATTCAACATCATAATCATCGATATCTGTTTCTTCTCCTAGACTTTCCAAATTTTCATATAATTTTTCCATGGTTTCTTCTGATAGTCGATGATATTCATCTTGAGACAGGTTACTTTTCATTACAAATTGTAATGGTTTAATTGTTCTATTTTTATTATTTAGATTATTTACATTAAAGAATATTCTTTTATAAATTGATGGAAATTTTCCTATATTCATGATAAATAATCAAATTGCTGCGCCGGATATCCAATGCCCAATTAAATAATTGATTTTAAAATATCAAATAAAAATACATTAAATAAATAAAAATAAAATAATAATAATACAAATATCTATCAAATTATACTTCAAGAATTTTTTAACTTATTGAATAATTTTTATCAGAAACTATTAATAATTTGCCATTATTTCCCGTTATCCACATTTGCATATCGTTATTACTTAATTTAAGACAATTTGCAATTAATGGAACTGTGAATTCATGATATAATTCTAGACTATAGATAAATATTTATCAATCAATCAATCGACTAAATATAAAAAAGATTTAATTAAATAATTAGATTTTTCAAAAAAAAAAGCCAACCTTAAAACATCATATATTCTAATAAAACTTCTTTCATCTTTTCCAATAGTTGTTGTAACTATCGAATTACTTTCAGTTGAAGAAATCATATGTTCTATTTTAACAGATAGTTGCATTGAATTTAAAAGCTTTCCATTAATACTGTAAGTATGAAGAAAATATTCATTCTAAAAAAATATTTAAATTTAGTAAATAGCAATATCATAAAACAATCAAACAAACACACACATATTATACCAAACACTCACTTTATATTCCATATATATGACTATGTTAGCATCTTTGGTTATGCATACATATTCAACAGATGATTCGTCATCTTCAAATGGGCATAATGTTCGTATGTAGTTTGCATTCCTTAGTGAATGAATGATACATGTTCCATCCTTTTTTTAAAAAAAAAGAATCAAAGCTTAAATTTAAATTTAACTGTTGAAGATAAAACAAATACAATTAAAATAATATTAACTTTTGATCCGCTTATTAATATGTCATGTTCTGCATTAACAACAATACAGGTAATCTAAAACAAAATTAATAAATTTGATTAATACAATTAAACATTAAAATTCCATTACATTAAATTTATTACCTCATCATCATGGCCATAATATGAATGCATGGGTATATGTTCAATATTTAAAAATTCAAAATCATCTGTCATATTGATCTTCCAAGACAACAAATCAGAAGACCTTGAACCTGTAACAACAATTCTTCCATCCTCACTAATTCCTACAGTTGTCACAGTATGTGCAAAGCAGTTAAGAAATAATACTTTAGACTTTTTAATAATATATTGTTATTAATTATTAATTATTAATTATTATATTAATTATAATAGTGGTATAACAACAATAACAATAAAGGATATCATCATGTCCTGATATGCTGTCATTAATCTTTCCCGTTTCTGTCAATGTAACTTTTATTGAATTATCCCAATGTCCACAACTTATGAGAACTTTCCCATCTTTACTACATGCGAAACTTCTTGGTGTAATTTTTACATCAAAAGAAAATGGACTATTCAATTGACTAAAAGGTTGCAAAAATAAAAAATAATTTTTAAAAAATTATCTTTCCAAGTTTATATATGGATATTTACTACTAACCTTTTATACTGTAAGCCAGGATCTACTTCAAATCTTTTTATTTCTGGAGCTGTTGGTTTAGGCAAAAGATTATGTTTACCAACTAATCCATTTTCATCAACAGTGATAATTTGTTGTAAATCAATGGCAGAAAAGTTCATAAAGTCAGGTGATGGCAAATCAACAAAAACTAGCTTATTAGATTTCAATGAGAAATATTCCTGACTATCCAAGGAGTTCAACAAATTTTTTTTCAAAAATTTTTTACTAGGAAATCGTTTAGGATGTGGTTCTTTGAGAAGTTGAGTGGGTGTCTGACCAAAATGATAAATCTGTTGTTCAATACTTTTTCTTTCGATTGGATCTTGAATACTTTCAATGTTAATAGCACCTTCATATGTTAAATAATAAAATACATTATATGCTTTAACAGCTTCTTCTCCAGTTTGTTTATATCCAAAAATCAAATCTATATTTTTATTAATTAATTGATTGATCAATTAATAATATGATGATAATAATAATCTTATCTTTAGTATGATTTAAAAAAAAATAAATAATCAATTAGCTTACCTATCCAATGATGTAAATTTTCTGATACATGGTCAGATTCTAATGCTTCTCGATGTATACGAATAAAATCTTCAGGGGATTTTGCCCATTTTGGCAATTTGACATCATCTACAGGTACACCATCTTGTCGAACTCCAAGATCAAATTTATTATGATTTACCAAAAATTCTGGAAGATAGAAGAATTCTGGAGTCAATTCTCTAACATCACCACTGGAATTTAAACAAGCTTGCCAAGCTCCCTGGATAGAATGAAATTGCCTATCAGCATGGTCAAATTTCCCCCCTTGTAATGAAATATTTATAGATGTGAATGGTTCTAAACGAATTAAATAACAAGCCACTGTTGCTGCACTTGAATAATGTGTTCCATAATGAAATTGCTTTATACGTCCAGAAGGATCATAAAAGGACTCATACCGCTCAACAAATTGTTCCAGTCTTATAGGGTTAATAGCTCCTATTGGTTTAGACAAGTCTCTATAAATTTTGGGGTCTGACAAATCTAATGTATCTGACTCATAATCACATAGAATCCATGGAAATACAAAATACTGTGACAAATCATTGTAAGACCTTCCAGCAAAACTATTTAGATGCATCAAATATTCAAAGTTGGAAATTTCATGCCTTTGCCAACGTCCTATCAAATTTGACCTGGAAAACATCATGGTGGGGTCACGAGTATCTTGGTTGATCATTGAGGGTGGATGAAATGATATTATTTTTGAATGAAGGATTTTTCTATCTTTTGGATTTGGGAAATTAAAAAAATAATTGGTTTGATCTGTAAGGAACAATTCAAGAGCGCTATTTTTCAAAAGATATTTTCGCATATGAATCTCTCGTATATCTGAAATAGACCATTTTTTGTCTAGTAATACCTCACTATCTACAATTATAGAGCCCTGCTCAATATTATTGAGTTGTTCCAACAAATCTTGATGATCCAATATTAATGATAAATGAGTAGTAGTAAGTTCTAAATGACCTTTGATGGCAGATAAGTGTATTATTAGTTCACAATCTGTTTTAAATATAAATTTATCAGCTGATAGATCAAAAGTATCAACAACATCATCACCCACAACAATATTCCATTCTTGATCCTTTGGTTCTTCTGGGATATCAGATTCAGAGATTAAAGACGTTATATTAAAAGCCCAATTACCATCTGTTAATGGTTCAATTGAATTCAAAAATGGCGGTGAATTATATCCAAATTTATTGACATTAGATGATGATGATGCCCTTTTTAATCTTTGAATATTTTTGATTTTATTTTGAGATGCTAATGAATCGTTATTGTTATTTTTATTTAATTTATGCATTTTGTTTCTTTTTGCACTTGCTTCAAGATGTGGATCATAATCATAATTGGTTGTAAGCTTTCGCCTCATTCTTGAATAATTTTCTTTTTTGTCAAGTTTCCAATGAATATCAGCAGCCTTATTTCCTCCTATTGACCAGACACCACGTTCTTGAGTCAATTCATGAAACTTGGATAACCATCTTCTTGAAGTCCTAATATAATCATTTTTCTTTTCAACTTCAAGACTATTTAGGCGAGAAATTTCTTCACCTTGATAAGATTTGATAATTGAATTTAAATTTTTGTCAAAAGTCTCCCCCGGCTTAAGTGTTGCTGATTCTTCTTTTCTTAAACAATGTAGGAACATATCTAATTTTTTTGAAAAACGTGCTAACATACGTTTTACTATCGAGAATTCAACTTCAACTGCATCTCTCATTGCATGAACTACATATTTATCAAATATTGCCATCCAATTACGTGATTCAACAAACTTTATAAAGATATGTATATTTAATTTTGATCCTGACCATATGGATTCAAAAACTTCATCAAAAATTGGATTATCACCACCACTAAGAATATTTAGATACTTACGACATTTGTGTATAGCAAAATAATATAATATCATTGTTTTATAATCATAATCACCACTTATCATCTTTGATGCACTATTAATATATATTAAATTATTTATATTGTTATCATCGTTTAGATTATTATTATTTTATAAAAAAATTGTTAAATACAAACTTGAATGCATCATGAATTTCACCCAAAAGTAAAAGAATATGTTGTTGAAAAATATCACTATCATGACAATAAAATCCTCCCAAAATTTTTTTATCTGTTGGTGATGTGTAATTACTATTGTCATCATCAGTAGTAGAAAATGAATCAGGGGGTAATTTTACATGTCTTTCAAGAAATTCCATTAATTGATCAATACATTTTTCACGTAATTCTTGATCTGGGATTGTAATACCAGCAATTAAAATTCTCATTACCATTCTACACAAATCCCCAGGTTGCTTTATAAATTGATTTTAATTAATAATAATAATAACAATCACAAGTTATATAAAAAAATTTTAAAATTTTTTTTACCATTATTCCATTTTTATTACTTGGTAAATCCATTCTCCAATTTCCAGCTGTATCTAGAACATTAACAACATCAAAATACAATTGAGCTAAAGTCTTATTATCTTCCCATGGATTACTTGGACTTTGAAAGATTATATCATCATATTTCTGTGGAGTAAACGTGGATTCTAATTTTGTATAAGTGAATTACCAAATTTAAAATTTTATTAGATATTGGTAAAGTGATTACTAATAAATTTATAAAAATTCAGAAGTTTTAGGATAATGCTTTATATATATAAATATATACATTATCAATAAACAGGCCTCTTACCATATATAGATTTAAATGAAGAAGAATAACTTCCTGATGGAGAATTATTACTTTTTTGTATAGTTGAATTTTGTTTTTGAATTAATGTCTGAATTAAATCTTTATTATTAAAAATTATTTCTTCAGTTAATGATATTAAACGCATCACATTTTCCTATATAAATATATACATAAATAATTATTATTTAATAAAACCAAAAAAAAAAAAAAAATTACAAAAACAAAAAAAAATAAATACCAATTTTGTATTGGAAAAAGAAGCACCAATTGAATTTTTACACTCTTTAGTAGTTAATGTCAAAAGTTGTATTAATAAAGAACGAATTGTTTCTAAAGAATCTTGTCTATCACTTGTCCATAAATAGATTATAGTTTCTTCAACAACTCGATAGCCATCATTATTGACCTCCAAAATATTCCATATAATAATTGCTAAACATTCTAAAGCCCAATCTGAAGTAACTTTATTTGCCTTTTGTGCTAGAATACCTTCTTGATCACCAAATACAGGTATAAGTCGGAAGAGATATTTTTGCCAAAGCCATAAATAATTATTATTTATTTCTGTACAATATGAAATATTAAGTTTAAATATTTCTATTAGGTCTTTAAGAATTCTACATTTGTCATTTCTTTTTGTGCCCTCAGAATTTAATAATGCCAAAATTAAAAAAATTATTCTAAAATTTTTAACTTGGATCATCATCATGGTGGTGGCTGTGGTTGATGGGGATGATTCGAGTTCCTTTTCACATGTCACTTTAGCCAAATTAAAATTTTCAGATGCCCAATCCAGCAATGCATAATAAATATTAATGGTTAATGATTCACCTTCCATTAACTTTAATAGATTGTTAATGCCTGACTCTTCAAATCTAAGCTTCTTTACAAATTGAATTGGAGTCAAAGGGCAAGAGATCAAATATGTAATTATTTTGATAGAATTCAAACGAACATTTTCATCTCTTCGTTTCAACATTTCACACAGAAATTCAAATCCACCATAAGATGAAATAATATCAATCATATCTTTATTTGATTTGTTTTTTTGCAATAAAGTCAAAATCATATTTAAAATTTCAACAATGTGTACATCATCATCATTAATCAATAAATTTCTAAAAATAACCAAAACTTCATCCTTTTTAATCCCATCTTTGAAATAACCGAGAATAATACTAATAATCATTCCACGAAGTTCTTTAATTTGAGATGTTTTTGGTCTATTAGCACCTGATGTAAGATGTCTGTGTGGTACAGAGGTATTAGTTTGCCTATACCAATAAACATTTTGAAGAACATCCAAAAAAAATTGAATACCAAATAGATCTCGACACATTTGTTTTCTGGCATCAACAAAATTTTTCAAAAATTCAATACAATACTTTTGTATATCAACAGTTGCATACATCCACAATCTAAACTCAAATATTAAATGCTTATAAACTTCATTTACAAGAGTTTCATTGGATGATTCTAATGTACTTGCCAATGTAAGCATACTTTTAAAAGCTGATATAGAGAAGTGTCTTGGACCAATTTGTTGAAGTAATAGACTAAGAACTTTGATACCTTGATTTTTTATGATATGATTTTGACTTTTTGGATTGTTTTGTAATAGTGATGTCAAAAGGACAAAAAAAATTCTACATGGACCTTCAAAGGAGAAAAAATCATCTTGTAATTCACTTATTGCTTGAAAAGCAATGGAATTTAAATTGTCAAACCGCATGATAATAGGAAATAAAATCTCTATATCACCTAAACATTGTATTGCATTCTGTATACTTAGCGTAGAACATTTTTCAACTCCAAATAGTTTAGCCTCTAGAGAATATTTTTTCGTTAAATTTGTAGATGCTAAATTATAACAACTTTGATCTTTTGATGAAGAAGCTTTAACGTTAAAACTAAATAGGACTTTTTGATTGTAAAAAATTTCACTAAATAATTTTTCAGCAGGCATTATTGTTGTTTTTGTTGTTGTTGATGAATTTGTAGTTAATTCCTTATGTTCGGATTGATAAGCATTATTTGGACCAAGTTCATATAGCATCTTTATTTGTTCTTTGTTTAGGATATCTGATATCATATAAACTGTAGTCATTTGACCCCTAAAACCATTATAAAGATTACTGTTGTTGTTGTTGTTGGTATTAAATGATCTAGATTTATTAGAATGTTTGCCATTTTGTAAAGAGTTAATGTCCAAAGAGGCACCTATAGTACAATAATTAAATAAGTGAGTAGCAGTAGTAGAAGAATAATAATAATTTGTTGGATATTCTAAATTATATTCGAAATAACTATCTCCATTTATAACTATTAATAGTTCAGCAGGTGTTGTAGTCCATCCTTTTTTTGAGGGTTGATGCACAATAGTAATAAAGTACAGTCTGTTCTGTGCAAAAATAAAATTTTTCACAGTAATTGTTGTAACCTTAGTGCCTTTTTTAGATTGGATTGATAATTTGTTTTTATCAAAATATGCTTCAATCCCATCACCATTTTCTTTGAAGAATGAAAATAATCGTGGAGAATAATCATTATTTCTGTTATTTTCGTTATTAAAGGCTTTTGAATTTAATGATAAAAGAGAATCCAATTTTATCCAAGTGAAAAAGGAATAACCATTTGTAGGAAAATTTTCAATTCTTGATAATTTAATGCCAGAATCAATTCCTCCTTTAAAGTAAAAGAAATCTAAAGTAGTGTGATTGGAAGTGTTCTGTTTTTGAGCAATTGAACTCAAGAATTTTAATAGAGAACCTTGATACCATATACTACTAGAATTCTCTCGTTGACTATTGTTATTGTTGTTATTGTCTTCAATTTCAATATTCTTATTACAAATCATATTTAATATTAACTTAATATCTGAAACTTTGACAGAAAATGAACAAATGATTTCTAATAATTTCATTGTACTTTCAACAACTTCATTTCTTTGACTTATCTTCCAAATTACAGTAGTTAGCAATTTGCGAGTGATGTTAGCTTTAAACAATATCCATTTGTTAATATCATTTTCTTCTGCAAAATCTATTAATTTATCAATAAATTGTAATTGTATAGATTTTTCCATGGAAGAAAGTTGTTCCAATAAATTCCTAAGAGTGCCAATGTGTGATGTCACGCACTCATTATTAAATTGCCATTCATCATTATTGTCAAGCAGACTATTTAATTCTTCAAGTGGTTGTGAAAGAAGTTCTGTTGTGCTATCGTTACTGTTGAAAGAATCAGTCATATCAATAAAATTATTGATTTGATTCTTGGAATAAATTATGTCTTTTTTTCAATAAAATAAAAATTTATGTATTTATTTATTTGTTAATTTAATCGTATTTGATCTTGAAAATAGATCATTATTAATATTAATAATAAATTTTGTTTGTATATTTATATTAATATGGAATAATAATAAATAGGAAAAAAAATGGCTAATCCGCAGGAAATTCAATACCAATACCAACCAATTAATTTTATCAATGTCGCACACTATTCTCATGCAGTGGGACACTAGGGGTGTGTGTCAAAAGTTGTTTACTTGTTATTGTTGTACGATACTTATTAGGTAACGGAAATGATCAACTTTGAGCAGGAAATTTAGGGTGTCTTTCGCATACTCATAATTGACCATTTTTTGGCATAATCACATAATCTACGTGTATAATTTACTTTTATGTAAGTGATTGACGATTATATCTATATATTCAATACCACAATTCAATTACAATTATAGAATTGTAGAATGAAAATGGTGAGTGGTTTCTGCATTAGAATGTTTGAGGAACAAAAGTCATTATAATAATCATCTTTACATTGAAACTGGGAAATTATATTGTTGTTTTTGTAACCATACTATAAATCATGAAAAAAAATCAATTGTTGATAACCATATAGAATCAACGAAATGTAAAGCTTGCTGAACAAAAACATAAAAATAATCCACAACCTTTACAAAGCTCTTTGCTTTCTTTCACTAATAATGATCGTGACAAAATTAATATTGCAATTATTGAAGCATTTACTAAAGCTAATATTCCTCTGGACAAAATAGATAAATTAAAGTCTTTTTTTAATTCATATTGTAAGAATAGTAAGAAAATTTTCATATCAAAAAAAAATTAAAATAAATTAATTTGAATGTTTTAATGTAAATTATCATTTTATTTTTATTTTTATTACATATATAAACTCGATAAGTCGGTCACGCGATAAGTCGGTTTTGGCCTAACTCGGCCAAAATTTTCCGCCCCTTTTTTTTACT